TTTATGTAATAAAAAAAACCAAGTAGAATCAACCTGGCTATACTGGAAAAGCCCAGGGTTAGTGGAAATATAGGTTTGCCAGATTTCATTCATTATTTCCATGCTACCAATGCAGCAGTTGCCATCAAATTGAATCTAGATTCTGAAAGCCCACACTGGCTTGAGATGGAGGTGGCCAAGATTCTTCCACGTCTCATAAAAGAGGTATTATGGCTGCCCTCACCTCACCGTCCACAAAAACTACGATTAAAGCTTGGGATGTTTTGTACAGGAAACTTAGACCCTTTTCATTGAGGTCCAGCTCCCTGTACTCTTGTCTGGGTACCTCCGCCAAGGACCGCTTCCTAGCTGTAACAGGGGACAAACCGCAGCACTTTTGCCCACAGTCGCCATGGCTTGACTGGGGTCCTGGAACCGCCCCCTCCTGGAGCCGAATGGGGAATTCGCTCTAGACACCCCCAGGCACTGGACGACACTCAGTTCTGGGAGCTCTAGTCCTTACAAGGACTTTCCCCATTAAATCCTCCACACTGGAACAGTGATTAAAGAATAGCCTTTTCACCTTCAAGTAACCAGACGACACATAGTTCTGGGAGTACAAGCTGGAATACGTTTAATCTGGCCAAATGGCCTGCTTTTATACAGTTTCAAAAACAGCTGAGCACGCCCATGACACTCCCACAGAAAACAGGGTATTCCCTCTCCTATGCCTGGGTGATAATTGAGTCAGGAACTGTACAAAATTCAATTATCTCCAGGCACGAAAAACACACATTTCACAAACACCTCAAAAGTACCTTAAACATACATAAAACCCCCACAAAAGTTACATCCCCTGATAGCCCCGATCTGGGTGACCAACATATCCAGAAATCATCCAGATCGTTTCAGGGGTTTGGAAATTTACTGGAAGTCTTAATTTGACCTACCGCACACGAGACTTCTTTCCAAAACAGTTCCTCCAAAATCAGGTCTAGCGGCCAGTCTAGTTTGGTAGTTTGTTTGTTTTGAATAGTCAATATTCTTACCCTGGAGCTTGTTCCCCTTGTTCGTGGGAACATTTCCATCGAACAGTGTCTTCCTAAGTGTTATTAGACCGAACACAGGCGATCATGGAAGTCCAGCGGTGTTCGTGAGTTTCAGTGTCCAATAATAGTTCCATTAACTCGACGACTAAACACCGCTGCATGTGTTCATGCAAACAAGATCAGCCGTCACCTTGTGATCTTCCATAGGAAATGCGGCCAACCAGATGAACACTTAGAATACTGAGGTGGAAATTGCTACAAAGTAGCAATTCGGCTTAACAAGCTCCTGGGTGGTCTCCGGTTTGTGCAGCTGTTCGGTTCCCGAACCATACAGTCCAAATACACGAATGGAAACTTTTACATTACATATTATAGGGTCCATAGTCTGTGGGCAGGAGACTGGCAAGCAGGCTCCTCCAGGAGCTTGTGGCAAACTCACTTAAAAAAGGGGAGTTTGTCACATCTTTTCTCAACTGAAAGAATTAATGCATGAGAGAATGATTGACTCTGTGATTGATAGGTGTAGCATTTCTGGACAGGGCCAGAGTGATTATAAACTAAACATGTCTCTCATTGGACAATTTCCATATGCTATAGTTTGTTGCTGGATTTGTGACACAAAAGTTTGAATCGATGACTAAACGGGAAAGTGAATTAGGTAAGGAATACGAGCTGAATGAATGGTTAGATCTTACATCAGCTTTAAGGGGCATTACACGCAGTGGTGTATCCTGGTTTTGTGCTGCCCTAGGCAGGACAAAATTCAGGCACCCCCCCCCGCACCTCCCCCACCCAACCCGCCTTCTAAATACACACACACACATTCACTGACATATACACATGCACTAGCTAACAGAAACACACACACACACTAACAGACACACACTCACTAGCAGACACACACACACTCACAGGCAAACACACTCACATTAACAGACACACACTAACAGACACACACACATTCACTAACAGACACACACTCACATACACTAACAGACACACAGTCAGACAGACACACACACACTCACTAGCAGAAACACACTAGCAGACTCACACACACACACTAACAGACACACACACACTAACAAACACATACTCACTTACATTAACAAATTTTTTTTTATTTAACCCCCCCAGGCTCCTTACCTTTGGGAATGCTGGGGGGGGGGTTCTCTTTCTCCATGGCGGTCCAGTGGCTGCTGGGCGGGCGGCGTTGGCAGGCGGGTGTCGAGGGAGCACTTCCCCTGAGCACTCTGCTCAGCTGCCTTGCGCGCTGCAGAGTGAAGCTGGGAGCCGGAATATGACGTCATCCAGCCTCACTCTGCCGGCGGTGCGAGGGAGCTGAGCAGAGTGCTCAGGGGAAGTGCTCCCTGGCCAGCTGCCCGCCAGCCCACCCAGCATGTCAGTTAGCCGCAAGGCTAACAAGGCATTTGCCTTGGGCATTTGGGGGCGGCGTTTTTTGCCGCCCCTGGAAAATGCCGCCCAAGACAAATGCCTTGTTTGCCTCGTGGCTAAAACGTCCCTGATTACACGGTGTGTGTCACATCTGGAATCCCACTACAAGATTCTATACAGATGGTATTTCACTCTCTCTAGGCTGTGGGGATATTTATGGGATAATAATAGTAACAGTGAGAATTGCCCACTAATTCAATTCTCAGATCCCAAAGAACGTTTATCGTGTTAAGTGGAAAGTATTCCATATAAATAATATCACAATGTATAAAAATAGATTTTATTTTATATTGACAAATTAATAATAATAATATGTAACATGCGTGACAATAATCAATGAATATTCAGTATAAGATGATATGCAATACAAAGAGATGGGTATTACGTTTCAATGGCTAACAGCATTTTCTGTCAAGACTTTATTTATGACTATCTTTAACACAGACTGAAAGTGAAACTTTTCACAGCGAAGAACAGAATTCCTCAGAGTGCAGCGTAAGGTCGTAAAGTTTAGCTGACAGTTAGAATAACCCTTTCAATGCTGGCTAGATCTCCTAGGTAATTAAGATCTATTCTTATGTAATTTTAAATAAAATAATATTTAAACCAGTTCATTAGTCATTTCCTGGAACCATCCAATAAGAGAATCTACCATGATTTTTACAAAAGCAGAATTTTAATTTGTCTAAAAGATATCTATCTTATATTAGAACAAATCAATACACCTGGATAAAAACAGCGGTATGCTAACACGTGATAATATCACCTTAATATATAATTATTCTTAATTCCACCTGCAGAATGGAATGTTTATAACTATATATTCTTTAGTTAACTAAGATTTCTTAATATGGAAATCTGACCGTGCTTTATCCAGTCATATATAATGCTATTAATACATTTTAATTAATTTAATTAATTAAATGAAACCAGTATAATTACCAGTTGAGTAGATATTTCATCCGATTGGTAGTCTCAGGAACTTATTTGGATGTCTCTCTGCATGGAGGTGTTGGTTAGAAAGTCAGTAAATTCTAAGTGTTAGAGTTTTAGGAGTAGAGTGTTAGTCTCAGATGTTGTCCGAGTTGGAATCCCCAAACTTCCAATTTCTCTCTCCTCTCCTTTGCATATGTCCTGCCTCCCTTTGTCTTAACTTTTAAAGGGCCAGACTCTCTGTACGTCATCAGTTGATAACCCAATAGAAGTACTAGAGGTGTGGTTATCTTCCAGATCGCAATTTAGGTATTTAGTCTATAGAGGGCAGTCTTATCCCACTAAACATACCTATCCAGGAAAGAGTTAACTTTTCCTGGTGGCTATTTTGACGTCATTTTGGCCTATCTAGATAGTGGCCATAACTTACGTATCCTTCACAGATCAAAGGGTTTATTTAAGTTTTGTCCAGACTATGTGTCTGGCAATCTGAGTTTTGACCCGTAACTTACAATGGGACCTTATATGTATAGACAGTTAAATTGTATTATTTAATCTTCTCTGTCACAATTGTCTGGGTTTAGAATTGATTATATTCTTCTTATCACTTGTTTATACTATGCTATGCATACCTTAGCTCTGGCAAAGTGGCTAGTCTTACAGAAAGAAATCTTGTGTCTTTTTGTTAACTTGAAAATAACAAAATGGAGTCTGGTCTGTTCAGAGTGACTCAGAATATACACTTTTAGTTTCTATCATAGCACAAAATGTCTGCCGATATAAATACTCTGACATAACCCCCCTTTAGTGCATTTCATAGCCAAAATTAATTTAGCTTATGAATAAGCACTATAGAAGTTACCAGACATATTGTGCAATCACATCATTTCTAACATAGGCCCGTGCGTGGAATGAACATTTTTGTATACATTTGTACCTGTAAAAGTTTTGAACTTTACACTTAGTACAATCAACCATAATATCATTATTATCATAGTACATTATTTTCATTTGAAAAATGTCTTTGGGAGTTACATATGGTATGGTCAATAAAAAGCAAATCTCCATACGTTCCGGGTCAATTAAGAGAGGTATAGAGCTCCCCATCTCAAAGGCCAGATTTAATTGCAAAGGCTCAATTGTTTCTCCATCCACATTGGTAAGCATCGCATGAACAATATCCTTGGATACAAAATACAGAGGTATGCGTCCCCCTGCCAATTCGATCATTCCAGTTTGCACTTCGTCAAGAAAAGCAAGTGTGTGGAACAATATTGGGTCATGCAGAAATAGAAGTTCACGCTTAAATAAGTCATGACTTTGGTGCAACTCAGTGGATTTGGCAATTAACTCTGAATGCAAATTTGTTGTAACAACTGTGTCTTCCACAATAGTTAACATGTCTTGGAGAAGTGTTCTTTGCTGTTTTATCACCTGATGAATATCGTTAATGTGTTGCTTTAGCGCATAGATTTCCATATCCAGCTTTTGGACAGTAATAGAGTTGGCTGCAGACATTCCAGTTGCGACAACTGCATCGACAGTGGGACAAACTAATGCAACAATTATAGCGGTGAGGAACCTTTAGGGTCGGTTGCTCATCGGAATAGAACTGGATACAAATGGTTTCCGGGCTTGCTCCAAGATGTTTCGCACACGGTCCTGTGCTCTTTGGAGGTGCATCTGGTACCAAGTCTGTAACTCAGGAAGCTGCATCGATGAAATGTTGTATGCCTTCTCGATGGAAATCTTGGGGTCCAAGCTGACGAACACACGTCGGGTCAGGATCCTCTTCTCTGTTAAGATGAACCCTGGTGTCTCTTGAATCAGGATGCCGGAGGATGGTCCCATCTCTGCGATTGGGTCGGTCCGTAGCTCTTGGCACAGGAGCAGTACGATCCAGAAACACGCCACATCCTTCTTAGACATCTTTCGACAGTCACGGATCAGGAACTCGTTCAGACTTATCTACTAATGATTCAAGGTTTGTTAAGCATACAAACTTATAACAGTGTGACATCACTTGGCCTAGGACAACATATTATTACGATTCATCAACATATGTATTCTCTCTAATTCTATTTTTATAACTTCATCCCTCACTACATTTATTACTGACTCTTCAGCAATATGCCTATATCAGTTAAACAAGCTAATAACCTGCTTAGAAAATGTAGTTATTGGATGGCAAGGAAATGGTTAATGACATGAACGTACATGAGATCATGGCACATCACAACATTTCACATCATACTATACCACGTGAATCAAACATTCATCCAGGTTAGTCGTTCACCCCTCTGTGTCCGAATCCGCATCTATAATCCTTAATTGAGATTTAGGATGACAAGCACGCAACTGGTTAATGTGAACCCACTTTTCAATAAAATCACCATCCTTAGGAATTTTTATCTTGTACGCTACTGGGGAAATTTTGTCAATGATGACATATGGTCCTTTCCAAGAAGGTAAAAATTTATTTTCCTTAACTTGATTTCGCGCAAAGTTATAGAGATAGACTTGATCTGTTATCTCATATTCCTTTTTCATGGTTTTTAGATCGTAATAGGTCTTAACCCCTGTCGCTGCTTTTTCTAGATTCTTTTGGGCAAAAGCAAATGCATGCTGTAAATGCTTGCGCAAATCTTCGATATACTGATGCGTAGTGGCAGCATTGATCAAGTTATGATCTGAAGTACGATATAGTAAATGCTGTGGTAAAACCATCTTTCTTCCTGTCATCAATTCAAAAGGTGACAATTTGGTAGCAGTGCTAGGTGTAGCTCTAATCGCCATTAAAACTAGGGGCAATTTAATGTCCCAGTCTTTACCAGACTCCTTAACATATTTCTTCAGAATATTAACGATAGACTGGTTATATCGCTCTACCCCCCCGCTAGACGCAGCGCGGTATGCAATATGTAGCTTTCGTTTAACACCTAGAATGTTCCACATCTTAGCCATTACTTCGCTGGTAAAGTGACTACCTCTGTCTGCAGGGCCGGATTAACATAGGGGCTGATGGAGCTGCAGCTCCAGGCCCAGGCCCATGGAATAGGCCCATCAAAAAAATTTTTTTATTTTTTTTTATTATTTTTTTACACACTACTCTTAGGTTTGCCACCCGACTGGTATTTTAATGGCACAGATGGTATTTGAGGCTGCCTGGCCCTGCTGGTATTGCAGTAATACCAGCAATACAAATGCAGGTAATTTTCTCAGAATAAATGGAAATTACTCTGCAATACCAGCACTGGCCAGGAGGGGTCACTGTGTGTGGAGAGAGGCAGGGATAGGAAGTTACAGAATATCCCTGCCTCTCTCTACTACTCATTGATCCGTGGAGGAGCAGCTACACAGCACAGAGAGTCCAGACAGCATCTCTACAGCTCAAGTAAGTGAGGGATAGGGGAAAGGCAGCAGGGGACACTGAGACACTAGGGGACACATGGGGACACTGAGACACATGGGGACACTGAGACACTAGGGGACACTGAGACACTAGGGGACACATGGGGACACTGAGACACTCGGGGACACATGGGGACACAGAGACACTAGGGGACACATGATGACACATACACTAAGGGACACTGAGACACTAGGACACAGACACTGGGAGACCTGTGAACACTGAGACACTTGGGGACACTGGAAAACATGGGGACACTGAGACACTAGGGGACACAGACACTAGGGGACACAGACACTAGGACACATGGGGACACAGACACTGGGAGATTTGGGGACACTGAGACACTTGGGGACACTGAGACACTAGGGGACACAGAGACACTAGGGGACACAGACACATGGGGATGCTGAGACACATCGGGATGCTGACACACATGGGGACGCTGTGAGACATAGGGACATTGGGAGACATTGGGACATGGAGACACTATGTCCCCCAGCCAGTGTCCCTAGTGTCTCAGTGACCCCAAGTCTCCCAGTGTCTGTGTCCCATGTCTCTCAGTGTGCCTAGTGTCACCATGTGTCCCAGTGTCCCCATGTCTATGTCCACAACTGTCCCCATGTCTCCCCAAGTGTCTGTCTCCCAGCCAGTGTCCCCCAGTCTCCCAGTGTCCCGTAGTCTCCCAGTGTCCCCTAGTCTCCCAGTGTCTGTGTCCCTAGTGTTTTAGTGTCCCCAAATGTTTCAGTGTCTCCATGTCTCCCAGTGTGTTCCTAGTGTCTCAGTGTGCCTGGTGTCCCCATGTCTCCCAGTGTCCCTATATGTCCCAGTGTCCACATGTCTATGTCCACAACTGTCCCCATGTCTCCCAGTGTCGCCAAGTGTCTGTCTCCCAGCCAGTGTCCCCTAGTCTCCCAGTGTCCCCTAGTCTCCCAGTGTCTGTGTTCCCATGTCTGTGTCCCCAAATGTTTCAGTGTCCCCATGTCTCCTAGTGTCTGTGTCCCTAGTGTCTCAGTGTCCCCATTTCTCCCAGTTTCCCTAAATGTCTCAGTGTCCCCGGGTCTCTCAGTGTCCCCGGAATCCTAGTGACACGGGGGGACACTGAGACATTGGGACACTGGGAGAAATGGGAACACAGACACTAGGGGACTGTGCGACATGGGGACACTGTTACTGTGATACATAGGGACACTGAGACACTGGGTGACTTGCGAGACTGAGACACTGGGAGACAGGGAGACACTGGGAGCAATCCATCTATACAGCAGTATCAAACTGTGAGTAGTTTGGTGATTTTACAGAATTTTCTCTGATGTCACTCCTTGTGATTTACATCACGTGATGTCACGCGTAACTAATTAATTATACAAATGATTACAGGACCACTCTAGGCACCCAGACCACTTCAGCTTAATGAAGTGGTCTGGGTGCCAGGTCCAGCTAGGGTTAACCCATTTTTTCATAAACATAGCAGTTTCAGAGAAACTGCTATGTTTATGAATGGGTTAAGCCTTCCCCTATTTCCTCTAGTGGCTGTCTCATTGACAGCCACTAGAGGCGCTTGCGTGCTTCTCACTGTGATTTTCACAGTGAGAGCACGCCAGCGTCCATAGGAAAGCATTATGAATGCTTTCCTATGTGACCGGCTGAATGCGCGCGCAGCTCTTGCCGCGCGTGCGCATGGACGAGGAGAAGAGGAGGATCGGAGGAGGAGAGCTCTCCGCCCAGCGCTGGAAAAAGGTAAGTTTTAACCCTTTTCCCCTTTCCAGAGCCGGGCGGGTGGGGGCACCCTCAGGGCACTATAGTGCCAGGAAAACGAGTATGTTTTCCTGGCACTATAGTGGTCCTTAAGGCTGGTATTTTTTTCCAAGAAAGGTGGCAACCTTAACTACTCTTCACATACTCTTGCTTAAAGGAGCACTAGAGGGTCAGGAAAACAATCATGTATTTCTGACCCTATTATGTTAAAACCACCACCCTGGCCCCTTCTTGCCTCCCTAAATATAGTAAAATATTACTTGTATTCAATTCTGCAGCTGCTGGCTCAGAAGTGGTGGTCTGAGCAAATTACAATACTTCCCCATAGGATTGGCTGAGACTGTCAACTAGGCAGATCAGGGGCAGAGCCAGCACAAGTCCAACATAGCCCTGGCCAATCAGCATCTCCTCATAAAGATACATTGAATCAATGCATCTCTATGAGGAAAGTTCAGTGTCTGCATGCAGAGGGTGGAGACACTGAATGGAAGTGCTGCACACTAGGCAGTACTGCCCCAGGAAGCACCTCCAGCAGCCATCTAAGGAGCAGCCAGTGGAGTTATTTTCTCTGAAAAGACAGTGTTTACTGCAAAAAGCCTGAATGAAATGATTCTACTTACCAGAACAAATACAATAAGCTGTAGTTTTTCTGGTGACTATAGTGTCCCTTTAAGTTTGGAAGCTTAAGAGGGATGTATGGGAACAAAACTTGTGTGCACTTGCTGACATTAAAGTTAGTTTAGGTAATGCAGACGTTGGTCTCTATAACACTGTGGCATGTCCCCTTTCTTCTACACTCACTACAGACATCTTTTCTCTGTCTCAGACTATATACCAGGAACTTCTGCCTGCTAGTAAGAAGGTAAGGAGACAAGTGGACCAGCGAGTGCTAGGGGACAGTCCTTAGAAAGAATGGAGTGAGCGCATCATTAGACGCATTTATGTCAAGCTCAAAGTGCTGCCTGCATAGTATGCCCTTAGTTGGACAGCCTGCAGGATTGGCAGGCAGCCTGACATTCATTCATGCCAGGCTGACCTTCCAATTCTTTGGACAAACATGCCCCTTTTTGGGCATGTTCACCCCTTTTGGCAGGCCTTGTCACGTGATTCGCGCCAGTGGCACACCCTTGTACCCCGCCCATTGTCTTCCTGCTTCACTGGACACTGCTGTTAGGGGGGTATGGATTTACTTGAAAGATGAAAGCATAAATTAGAGAGAAATTAGCATAGAGTATGTGTTTTCTTATAGCTGCATCCTATGAGTTTCCCTCCAGCACCATCTCCATCAGATACATGACGCTTGGGAGGTATGATTGTTTTAGTTTTTTTGGTCGATAAGATTCCGTAATTAGGCCCATCATAATTGTCAGCACCAGGCCCACTGTGCTCTTAATCCGGCCCTGTCTGTCTGACTCAATTCTTTGAGGCAGACCGAACCTGGAAAAGACATGGTTAATCAACAAAGTGGCGCACACGGTACTCGTGTTCTCTTTACAAGGCAAACATTCTATCCACTTTGTGTACATACATGTAACGGTTAACATGTATTTGTTACCTCTTGAAGATCTTGTTACAGGACCTATAAAGTCAATTTGAATATCAGACCAGGGTAATGACACCCCCCTCTTCTGAAGTGGTGCACGATGGGTTGGACCATGGGGTTGATATTGCGGACAAATCAAGCATCCCTGACAGTATGTCTTAACATCCCTTAACATGTGTGACCAATATGCATAATCACGCAATATCTCATATGTGA